TATATATATATATATATATATAGTCCAGTTCGTGTGCGCATTCTCTTCAGCACTCGCTGATCTATGCTCGAATCTTCTAGGTTTCGAGACACTAGTTCGTCATGCGACGCCTCTTCCAAGCGATACGTGATCACGAATCCACCCGACGACTTCACACTGTTACCTACAGATCAGGTATAATATCGCAAATCTAAAAATCACACATCGCACATAAATTTTCCACGAAATTGCCTAATTCGATAAAACAATCCAAAGTTATCGGAATTCATAATGGTCTATACATAATCGTCAATTTCTCGCGTATCATGATCAAAAATCAACTCGATAAGCTCTAACTGATCGCGCGTCACAAAGTTCATCGCAAAGACAAGAATTCCCGACATGAGAATCGTGCTCTCTATCGGCCGGCTCTCTTCGAATCGCCAGGTTTTCGTGCTGATGCAGTTCGACCCGGGTCTCGAATACAGGCCGAGCCGAGGCGCCCGCGGCAAGGACGACTCCTCCTGATTGTTGCTGTGTAGCGCCCTCACCGACGGACCATATTCCTACATCTAATCGCGCGTTGGAAACCATCGTGCCGTCCGTCGTCCCTGCAACTGTCTCATCTTCGTCGTAGGAGCCACCGACGTTCGCGAGACGCAGTTTCTTCGATCGACACACCGCGATTGGGGCGCAAACGCGACGCTCGCCAGCTTGTCGATTCGTTCGCCGAGCTGATCCCGGCTCGGAGAGACGACCGAACGATCCGTGAGGCGGAAGAGGACAACGACGAATGGGAGAACACCACGCCGTCGAATAAGAGGAGGAACGACGGAAAGTGGCACGATGCTGTGCGGTCCGAGGGTAGCTACACGCCATGTACTCTCTTTCTCTGTTCGAGCTGAAGAAGAAGAGGACGGTCGTCTTCGCAGCGACGAGGACGACGCCGTGAGAAATCAGACACTTCGCGAAGCGCAACGCTGTGTTATCGAGTCCCCGAAACCACCGACCCTTTGGGCTGGAAGAAAGTGTACGGGGTACACATGTAGCTTATAACATCTAACACGTGGCTTAGCCTCGATGTATGGGGGTGTATAGCTTAATGTTTAACGCGCGGCTCGACGAGCACTGTGGAATCGCACGATAAAGTCGCGGCCTGGAAGAACAATCGCCGTCGTGGCGGCTCGTTTTCTTTCGGGGGGAAGCACGTGTTATTAATGTATATAATACTACGCAAGAGAACACCGTCAACGAGCGAGCCGTTGAGCAGCCGACGAAAGGGTGGACAGAGGTGAAGCAGCGGGGGAAAGAAGGGAGTCCGCGAATGCAGCGAGTTGGACTCGTTCGTCAACGTCTCGACGTCTGACCGAGAGAGTGACCGGATCTCTCTCTTTCTCTCTCTCTCTCTCTCTCTCTCTCTCCCTTTCTCTCGCGTGCGAACGTCGCAAAACGTCGCGAGAGAAGAGGGACCGTCGTTGGCAAATCCTCTCGTCGGCGACGGACTCTGCGCGAATCGAGTACCGGGCTGGACGAAGTGCGCTCGAAACGTGCCGGACTACTATGCGCAACCCTTACCTCGTGTGTCTTGTTTTATGGCTAATGAAACAAAGGGAAAAAAATTATCTTAATCAAGCACTTTGTACAGGTTCTATATATATGCACACACACACACACACACACACACACACACACACACACACACACACACACACACACACACACACACATATACATATAAATAACTATACGATGAAGTACCCTTTTCCACACAACTTTAAGTATATAAATCGTCTATATATCGGTATATATACATTATAGGTATATATGCACATATATATATATATATATGTATACATAGACATTCTCTCTTTTATATATTTTTGTGAAACTCACGTGTGTATATATACGGACGTACATATAAAAGAAGAAAATATACATATATGTAAGAGAAAAATACACATGTACACAGATACTTTATATATCTTTTCTCACAGACACACATTCTGTTTCTCCTCATTCTATCACTCTTTCTTTCTCTCATATATTTTTTCTCTCTCCTTTTTTTTTTCTATCTTTCTTTCTTTGTCATCCTACTGCGCGTGCACACGTGTGCGCGTGCCGACACGAATTTGTACTTCGCTTGTACACGGAAAACACGCACACGTAATTACACATGTACGAGAACAGGCGTGTACATGCGTGATATGCACGCGCGCGCGTGCGTGCACTCACACAGAGGTACGATTTACATTTCGCTTGCTGATACTTACACACACGGTACACATGCAGAGACTCACACACACAGATATAAATATATACACGCACATACACGCAAAGTCGAGAATTTTGATCGGTGAGGATTGATATGCGCGCGCGTGCGAGCGGACATATATACGTGAGACTGTTCTACGATTAAGTGGCGACCGTAGAATTTCAAAAGAGAAGGACTGCAAAAAGAGAAAAAAAAGAAAAGACAGAAAAAAAAGAGAAAACCACGTGACGACGATAAAAAATAAATAACATACGATGCGCGTGTCGAACACCGCCGTGATCTCGAAATATCGCAGGTTTCGCGGCATGCGGCTCCGAAGCGTAAACAAATAAAAAAAAGACAAAGGGAGAAAGAGAGAGATTATGAAGCGGAGGAGCAGATTAAGCGAGGAAAAAACTAGCAGCTATGGTAGTCGCTGCCGTGTTTCGCGTACATCTTGTATAATCGTCGTCATCGTCGCCGCCGCTACTGTTGCTGCTGCTGCTGCTGTTTGCAATATCCACGTGCACTGTTCACTGCCACTGCAGTTCGTGTTATATATCGTTGTACATAACTTTCTATGTATGTAGCTCGAGTGAAAGAGAGCGAGGCGAGGCGCGCAAGTGTGGAATGCACGCACCCTGCGAAGTACAAAGGACGTAGCGTCGGTCGCGCGAACAGGTTGCACCGACGCTCCGCGTCGATGATCCTTCTAGCCCGACGACGTGTCCTGTGCGTCGACAAAGCGCGGCCGAGAAATACGTCCGGTAATTTCAATCGCGTTACTTGGCGAGACGCGCTCGGGTCCTTCGTTTTTTCACAAATTTTTCTCGAGAGGGAGAGCAGAATCTGATCTTTATCGTGTCGATTAAAACTGCGTGCTATATCGCGGAGAGAAATTCGATTCGGTCGAACTATTTGAATGCCGCGCGTAGTAGAATGGCCGTTACGCGACGACCCGATGCTGCGGTGGACGTCGGTGCAACTGGTCCGAGAGGTTGTTTAACGCAGGACCTTGAGAGATCGTCTAGAACTTCGATTCACGGATCGCGCGAAGTTACTTTGCGAAAGTATCTCGTTATTAGAACCTACATACGCCAAATATAGTTTTGTACCGCCTGTTATGTCACGTCCCCGCGGTTCGAGTAAAGGAACTGAAAGACGATTCTTACACACGTCCGACTCTCTCGTTTACAAAATTGTTGTGCAATCCGAACAATGAGACGTGCAGCTTAACGGAAATTTAACTCTCCTTGATCGCATATGTTGCGTTCGCCTTGAGTTGCGGCATCGTGTATGCTCCATTTTCGTTTGATCTTACTTTTCGACGAGACCTACAGCTAGCTGTTTGAACAATTCTGCTGGGGCCGGAAGTCTCGCGGGAACTTCCGAGGATTCGTTTACATCGTGATGAAATCGAAACACGGTTTCGTTTGAATTGTACGGAATTACGCGTCCGAGAAGAAGATATCGCATGTTAATTGTTCGCGCGGTGGATGTAATGTCACTTACGGGTAGATGTATCGAATGTCGTTTCCTTTCCCCGAGCGTTTCATTCGTAAGGCGATCATATATTTTTGTAACTAAATCGATTATACGAAGCGTTAAAAAAATGCTTGAGTTCTGGAAGCAGAATTCACTCGAAATACGTACGCGAAATTTCTTTGGAACTGAGGGACTCGCGATTGAAGCCGTGAGACTACGAAGGAGGACGGGAGGAGGATCGCGTTGCTGATTCGGCCGAGGAGCTCGCCGCGCGCGAACGGACATTGTATTTTCGCGGCGATCGAATTCTGCGCGTCTTCCCTCTTCCTCCCAGTCGTTGGATCGATTTCATTGGCGAATTGACGAGACTCGATTGTTCAACGGAGGAGAAAAGAGGAGACCGCGAAAAGAGAGAGGGAAGAGAATGGAGAAAACACACACATCTCTCGAGAGACGTGTGCACTTACTTCGCGCTTTGTCTCTCTCGGGCTCAAGAATTGGCAAAGGAGACTTTAATACAATGCAAGTCTTTAGCTTAAGATTTGGCGGAGTAATCGATTCAAGCGAAAGACGATCATCTCTCTCCTCAGAGTCACGTTGAGGAAAGGAACGTATTCAAATTTCTTGCAAGATTATCCCTTTTCGAGCATTCTCTGCGTACTTTGTTCNTTTTTTTTTGGGGGGGGGGGGATCGTTCGCGAGTCGTGAGGTCAATTCCTGAGATTCTTCATTCTCGAAAGCTCTCGTGTTTCCTCGCGCAGGGAGAGAGAATCTGACGAGAAAATTGTGCGAGGCGAAAGATTCGATCGTAAGAACCGTGCAGATCCGTGCGTGTCGCTTCGAGAAACGATTTGTCTTCTTTTGCTTTCCTCGAGTCTCCTGAAGGTTCATTGTGGCGAACCGCGAGCGAGTCTGTTCCGGAGGAAGCTCCGAGAGAGCTTCTGTCTCGCCTCGACGCGATTCTACTTGCGAAAGATAAAACAAATTCGTGCGTTACATTTTGCGGAAGTCGCTCAGCAGAGAGCGACACAAAATGAGAAAACTCGTCGGAGCCTTGTGTAGAATCTTAGATGATCGGTTTGAGATTTGCGTCGCGCGGAGCGAAGAGGAGCTTCCGTTTCGGCAACTCTATTCGATTGATCCTCGACGTTTTTCGTATGTTTTCATTCGTACCGTATCATTCGAATACCTAAGAAATTACGACGTGAGGGAACGATTGTCGCGCGATCGATCATTCGCGTTACTTTGAATGTCCGAAGGACAATCCGCTCGTGTTTTACTTTCAGCGAATCTGCGCGAGAATATTACGGCTGACCAGTCGCGCGACGCGAATCGCTCATGCACTCTCTTTAAGAATTAAATCACGCACCGATTCAATCGATATCATCAGCCGTAATCTCGTTGCGTTACGCGGAGCAAATGTGACGCGTTTGTGTGTATGTGGAACGTGTGTATATCTAAAGGAAGTATATACATATATAAATATTAACGAGAAAAAAGTAAGCCCATAAAAAATCGAACAAAGAACTCGAAGTGGTCGAGAGAGAATTATATATATGTATGTATGTGTGTATATATATATATATATATATATATATATATATATACACATATATATATATGTGTGTGTATATATATATACACATATACACATATATATAAATTTAAAAGAAAAAAAAATGTATAAAGAGAGGAGGAAATTAAGGCGCGCTGAGCGTACGCCACCTTCAATGCCTCATTGACCTCACCTAATGCTTTTTTATCTGTACATTTACAATTTGTGTACCAATGAGGAACGTTGTTTAATCATGTTGTTGATGTTATTGTTAAAGAATGAGATTCAATATTGTACATAACTATATATTCATTATAATTGATGATATAAATAATTATATACATAAAAGTAAAAAAAAACAAATGAGAGAGATAGAAGGCGATCTCCCAGTCCCTTTATGCCTCGCATTTCGACATGCGGATCCACGTCATTTTGTAATAAAAGGACAAGTACTTTACAGACCTGTGTTGAGCGGGATGAAACTGTCGGCATAAAATTGTCGTCGTTGTTACCGTCGTTTCGTTGCGTTGTCATCGTTTATGCCATATATAAGTGGCGTCAAGTGCCTTTCCCACGTCCGAGAGTGTTGTTTCTCCTCGGGTCGTTTGTTCGATATGCTGACAGGAGTATCCGCACGCTCACGACTTGTATTTGTCACGTAGTTGCATAGTTCGGAGGACTTCCTCGGAAAAAAGTTATTATTTTCCAATCGTCGTCGCCGGCATGCAACATTGCGGTTCGCTGCTGATAAACAGGATGTTACATGTCTACTAACATATAGCGATCATTTTTAACAGTATCAAAGATTAATATATGTGGAGCGTTTAATATATTCTGTATCATTACTTGGTGACTTTTATTTCGACGAGAATTATCAATATTGAATCAATTTTTTTTCCATCTGCAATATGCTTTTCAAATGCAACGCGACTGACTTTTGAAACACATTGTGACGGACAATGAAAAATGGATTGTTCATGCGTTGTGGGACCGGGCTAGGGAACTGCCAAAAACAACTGCCAAAATCAGATATCCATGCGAAGAAAGTTATCTGATTACAAAGGTATCATGAACATATTCTCACAGAAGCAAACCATAAATTCAGATGTGTGTTATCGATTGGACAATTTAAGTCGAAATATCTAACAGAAGCAGTCAGAACAGGAAAGGATGTTGTGTTTCACCAAGATAACGCCGAATCTTATATATCTTTGTTTCACCAGAAACAAGTTGCACGAGGTCGGCTAGGATATTCTATCGCATATTCGTCGGACATTGCATTTCTTCCAAAGCTGAGTAAATTTGTAGCCTCGACCATATTTTTTGTTTTAATTGGAAAGCAAAGTAGTGTCTGATATTTGTTTGTCGCACGTCATCGTGTTTGATACTATTTTGTTGTAGACTTTGTCAAGTTATAGAGCATATTTTTAACCTTTGGCATCTCAAAAGCTACTAAACACTGAGGAAATATTTTAATTTAAAGCGGAATTATGACTGATTAAAGGTAAAAGCACCGAATTAATTTGCGCGCCTAATAATTTCGGTCAGATCAATTTCCGCTGATAGGTACGCAAAAAGAATCAATTTCCAGATAGCTTTAATTATTTAAAATATCCTATAAAATATTTTATAAAATATTCCATGAACATTTTTATATGAAATATGAATGTTTTTAGCTTCCAAATATTGAAATCGAATATTCTGTGAATATACGTAGAATATTGTTAAGTAGAAATTCGTATATTCATAACAGGAAAGAATATTCTTAGAACATTTATAAAGTTCATTTACTGTCCATGTTCAATGCAATTTTATCTATTTGGAAAGTAGACCTGTATATGCATTATATTTTTTGACAAACATATTTAATTAGGAAGTGAGGTCATGTGAGACTGTTTTCGCGTGTGCTTTTTAGCCTCATGAGCTCCTCACACACCTGCCTGCAATATTCGATGAAATATTCTTTGCACATTCATAAAACATTTATAGCAGTATCATTCGAATATACCAACAAGGAGAGAGCGCGAAAAGCAGGAAGTGGATTTGAACGAAATATATTTCTATAATAGTCACTTCATCTTCACTGATATTAAAACATAATGAAAGGCTAGCGCGCAATATGTAGCCGTTTCCGAGAACATCCTCATCGACATTCGAACCAGTGATCTCGCATTTGTAAGTCAAGCACGTTACTGCCGACTCACGCGGACATCGATATAGCACGTCGCTCAGGATTTTTAACTTCGATTTTCTAGAAAATGTTTAAGAAATGCGCGTTTTCCTTTTGCTCAATAAAGGTTCACACTATCTGTAGTTATCCGTACAAATAATATTATTGAAAACGATAAACACCATCTCATGATCTCTTGTTAAACTAGAAAGCTCTTCTTATGTTTATAATTGACAAGCCGCTATATAATTTAAAAAAAAATTAAAGAATAATTTAGATAAAGATTTGGTATGTAAAACATTGCCCTAAAATTATATGTCAGTCATTCTGCTAAAACGCTCCCTTCGAATACATAGGNGGGGGGGGGGGGGGTTTCTAGTCCTATCTGGAAGTTGGTATGTCAATAGACGGATATTATTCTCTTATGGCAAAGATATTCAAAAAAAATTAAAGTAATAATAGTAATGATAACAATGATAAGACATAATAATCATTATTTTTATTACAAAGTCATCAAGCTTAAATAGTGATAACTACTGTAGCAACCCTAGCGAGATGAAAATGGCTGACGAAAAGTATATAAAAACTTTAATTCATCTAATAAAGGATTGAGGAATAATACCTAAAGATATTTTATACAGAGAAATAGGCTTCTTTTTTGTAAGATTATACTACAAGTTTATGTGACAATAGATTACAGTTTAGATACGGCTTTTTTCTCTTCCGTGAATGCTATCTTTATCAATCAAAATAATATTCGAAGAACTTACTACCAAAATTATTATTTTATATTGGACCATCCAATGTGCACAGCATATGTACAACTTTATTATAACAGATACTAGCCATTGTTTTCATCTTGTTGAACTTGGTCGAGTTGTATGTCATCTTTTTTCTCAATATCATGATCTTCATTAAATGTTTCACTTATCATAGATTGCATTGTTGAAACAGCGACGTTATCGATCGTAGTTTCAATACTATGTTCCGGATTAGGGTCTCGATTTTCTTCACCCTCTTCTAACGAGCGCGGAGGTACAACGGTATTTAAAGATGCAGATCCATCGAAATTTTGTGAATGTTTGCCTAATCCTATTTGGACCTCTATTAAGTTTAGTTCGTCAATCAATGCCTTTTCTCTTTTTTCAATTTCCTCTGAAAAAAAGCGGATAATTGTAGAAATAAAAAATTAGCAGAATTTTAAATAATAGCTATGAAGATATACTAACCGTAAAGTTCTTTTGTAGATTGTACTAATAACATATCTGTCTGTGGATGCTTGCGTTTTGGTACATAATAAATGGAAGGTTGTGCACGTGTTTTTATAAACGAAGCAAGAAATAATTGTGCATTGCGCCAATCTTGAAACTGTCTACTTCGCGCAAGTTTTGCCTCTAACGCACGTACTTCAGCCAATTGTCGTTTCCGTGACAAAAATAATTGTTGCCTTTCCCTCCGTAGCTCTTCTTTTTCTCTCCTTTTAGCTTCTTCTACTCTAGCTTCTACTTCTGCCTTCTTATCTTCCTAGAAATGAAATATATTATAAAATTTCACATATCAATTTTCTAAATATACTTTTCAACAAAATTAAAGGATCACTTAAAATCAACGCCAAAAAGGACCAAGTCACATATCTTTGGGAAAAATGCAGAGCAATGGTCAAAGAAGCGTTAGATCTTGAAGTCTTAGCTTTCAAACGCTTCGAGGTATGTTACTCTGCAAAGATTTAACTACAAACGGCGTTAAATTTAATTTAATTGAAAATTTAATAAAAAAAAAACTTTGCAAAATTAAAATTAATAACTGTAGTAATGAGAAAAGCATTTGAAAAGGAAAATGTTGAACTTTACGATGCAATTAAAACAGTTTGGAACAAAAATTATGTATTCCCTGTACGCTATTAAAGAACTTTAATCTTCAACTTTGCAAGATTCGCTTTTAATCAGCACCGGTTGTAATAAAATGTTTACAGAGTGCGTCAAAGCATTCGAAAACTGAGGCTTTAAGGCTCTACAACGCATTTTTGAACATCGCTTTGCAACCATTTCTCGCAGAGATACATGATATTAAATTCAGTCCTTTTTGACGCTGATTTTAAGTGATCTTTTAATTTGATTGAAAAGCGTATATTTAAAAGTCTTACCTTTGCTTTAAGTTTAGTTTCCTCTTGTCTGAACTTTTGTAAAGTACCCAAAAGTGCGCCAAACATACGTTTATTTCTTTGTCGACTACGCTCATCTGTTCTTTCTCGTCTGATAACTTCTTGGCGCGAAGGAATTTCTCGAGGAGTAGCTATTACTCTAGACGACACAGCGGGCTTGATAAAAATATTACATACCACATTTAATTTTACAAATGGTGGAATAATATATATAAAATGATAAAATTTTATAAGCGAGATAAAATACCTCACAAGTAATCTTTATCAAGTGACATATATACCGATCTTATTAATTTTTTAATATTTGATACATACTCCAGATGATTATTTATTAAAAAAAAAAAAATTTAGCTCAATATCATTTGCAGTGCAAATACAATATCTTTCCTTAATGCCATTATAAAACATGTCAAAAAAAATATTGAAGACAATATGTTTCAGAGTTCAAAAGTTATCTGGTTTCGAAAGATATGTAAGATGGTGACCATCACTTCACCGTAGGACTCTATTAAAGTTCGATTAAATTTTTTAATAGAACTGTGCATGATTTTTTGTTTACATAAATGGTTTATCCTTAAAGAGGGATATCCTTTTCGTAGAAAAAAAAAAACGAACATGAAGACGGTTTAATTGATGGATTTTTTAAATGAAAATTGCAGGAAAGATAGTTTGGGACAAAGGCAGAAAATCTGTCATGAGAATTTGGCTACATTGAGTGACCAATTTTCTTGCATTAATATCTCAATAATTATTATAAGAGTTTACAAAAAATTGAGGTTTTTCCAGTCCAATATAACCAGTTCTACCTGCTTATAACTTCTGGTATACCTAAATTGAGACACGTATGCATATGCGAAATGTATTTTATTTAATAAGATTAGTCATTATTATTAGAAATGTGTTATCAAGAGATCTTATTTTATATACAAAGCACGCAAATTTTTCTATGATTCAGAATAAAGTACCTCATAACTCTTACTATAGGGATATGAGATAATTTGTTTAATTATATAATCAAGACTTGAACATAAAAATATTCCTAAGTATTTTTCTCAAATTTGTAATCAACTAAAGTTGATTTCTTTTAGTTATTAAGTTTATTGCTTATAATGATATTAATAATTTATCTTAATGTGGTAATTGATATTTACGTAAATAAATAAACATTCTAATTTGGAATAACCTATATAATGATTATAAGTCTTATAATAACATTTTCACGATAAAATTTATTTTAACATTACCTATAAAAAGTAAAAATTTACCTTGGGTTTAAAAAATTTTCAGATTTATTGTTCCTAATTATTTAATAGAAGTTGCTTTTATCTCCTCTTTTTTAAATAACTTACCTTAGTGACACTATCGTCTTCATCAGCACTATCATCTGCATTAGATGGAACTCGTGCACTTAGTCGACTAAAAACTGTTTTTGGTTCAGTGTTGGAACTTTGCCAGCGTCGTTTACCTCCAGGTAATTCATTATTCATAAGTTCTGATACAATTCGTCGACGATCTTCTTGTAATGGTCTTTTTTGAGATATTCTAAAAAGAAATCAAGTCATTAAAGAGTTGCAACAAAACTATATATACACGTTGTACTAATTATACATTTAACATAATTCCATTAATACAAATATAATCCAAAATATGGTGGAAATGATATGAATAATATAAAAATATCAGTGTAATTATAATTCGTTAAATGTATGAAGTACAAAATAGCATACAAGTTGACAGTACTTCCAGTCGTTACCATACAATATTTGGAAATTTCTTAATAACTTAATTCCTAAATACATTTACAAAACGAATAAAATACTGCCGAAATAGATCTAACCTAGGCGGTTGTAGTGGACCGTTTTCGCCGTCAGGAAGATCTCGACCCAGGATTTTACGAATGCTGCGATCAAGACCACGGAGATCATCGCGAGCAGCTTCTAATTGAGCCTCTAATCCTTCGGCCCTCCATGTTTCCTGATAATCCAATTTCCTCATTTAAAAATATTTTATTCACTTGATCTGATTCACATCAAATTAATTCACTTAGCAAATTCTTCGATAATATTGTCGAACAAGATCACCGACAAACAGACACCAGCAATTCTCATATTCCACCCTAAATCAATAAAAGTTCGCCCATACTTGACAGCATAGTGCATTTTCCAGCAAAGAGACATAGACGGTAGAATCCACTTAAGGCTGCAGACACTCAGGAGTACTTAAAGAATGATTGGTCTATGCGGCGCTTCGAAGCATTTGTAACGTGAAATGGATCCTACACAAAAATACAAAATCGTATTCATTTGCTATATATCATCTTACGATAATCTTAAAATGATATCTAGCCAATGAAACGACATTTAACGTATTACGCTGCGGTCCGTTCGGGTATTACGAGTGCGTTCCACTACATGCTCGCAACGCCCAAATCTTGTGGTTTCTGCCCACGAGAAACGCTCGCGACGGAAGTTCGCACGGTAGTCAATAAACTTCTAGTTCTTATCGAAAAACAGCGTGTTGATTGGCTATCATGCAAACTTCCGCCGCGCGGCAAGCGTTGCTTGTGGGCAGAAGCCATTACACTAGGCACACGCGGTGTTCATTGGGTGCGTTCGGAGAGATGCTATTAGCGCTAAATGCTGTCCGCGGAAGATAGTAGATGATAAACGCGATCATGACGTCACTAGTGGTAGTGTTTTACGTCATAACTTCGCGCTACAAACGCTATTCCTTCCGAGGTAATGCAATGGTAGCGTTTACAAGCTCTGCGAAGATCCGAAACATTGTATGTCATATCTCCTGCATATAAATATCATACATCGTATTCATTATTTTACTGTTATGCAATGGTAGCGTTCACAAGCTCTGCGAAGATCCGAAACATTGTATGTCATATCTCCTGCATATAAATATCATACATCGTATTCATTATTTTACTGTTATTATGTATGCTTAAGAAATTCACGTCTGTTCTTGAAAAGAGACAGAACGAAAGTTTTGTGACAGCTGTTCAATTTGGAACACTCGTAGAAAAACTAGATATTAGAATAACCTAAAAATTTAATTGTAGACGTTTGTTAGTGCTATCTGTCGGACCACAATAGAATCACCGGAAACTTTTCAGTCGATCCTCGTACATTCGAGTGAAAAGATATACCCATAACGATGACATTTGTGACTGATTCAGCACACATAAAATTATCCGGGTACTTTCCTTTCATTCGAGCAATCATTAAATGGTTGCAAAATCAACTCAACATAGACCTTCCCTTTTTAATTTCTTTTTTCATAATTTTGTCAATGTTAACTTCGCTACTACTTAATGATTGCTCGAGTAAGTGTTCGGACAATTTTACAAGTATGCTGAATCGATCACAAATCTTTTTATATGAACGTATAACGCAAAAATCCTTGACATATGTTTTCTCGCGTTATTAAAAAATAATTAAAGCAATCCTCCAGGAGTCTTAAAGCAAGACTGTGCATAAGTTTTGCAGCCATATACTTAAATATAAAATTAATGTTTTTCCGTACTTTGTTGAAACATTTCATTGGTTTTTACAAAATATATGTAAATGTACGATAATTAAAATATTAAATCGATACGATGAGTTCTCATAAATTACATATAGAAATTGTTTTATTTCTTAAACAATTAGCGTGCGCATACATGGCCTGTGTATAGATTAAACTTGAGAGGTACTTGGTTGGGTTTCTTTCTTAGCATAATATGCGTAATGCAAATCCTTTGAATCTTCGTCTGAAATATGCACCCAACCAGTTGATTTCATATGATATACTGTAAAATAACACACGTATTATAATCCTGCAACTATTACATAATATAAAATACTAGATGTTTGATTATTGCTTTTCCATGTTGATACTAGCTCTGTGATGAATTCTGCAAATAACAAAATAATTTGTATTTTCTCCATAATTACATAGCTAACCTCTTATAATACCGCCTGAATATGCATCTCTATGTGTAGCGTGATAAATTGATCTTCTTCCAAGTTCATAAGCTTCTTCATCAGATAGGTTCCATTTATATCCAGAATCCAGTACACCAAACGCAAACACAGATCCAGAACCTACGCTAAAAACTTTTCCGGGTGTACGAGTACCCTCAGAATCGACATAATAAAGTCCTGGTCCACGTTTGTCCCAACCAGCCAGCATCATACCTGAGTTTATAGATTTCATTATATTTCTTACTTAAATTTTTAATTTTAATATCATACCTACCGATACTCAGTCCCATCCCTTTGTAATTATAAATCATATTTGATAATAATTTGCTTGCTGCTGCAATAGAAATACGTTCTCTGTTTCTCAATTCATACATGCGACATTGTTTTGCCAGAACACGATCCCAATAGACGCAATCAGCAGCACCACCAGCCAAAGTTCCAAGGAGATAGTCATTGATTTCTACTATTTTCTTCATGGTGGATGAGCCTAAAAAACCAAATATGTGAATTATTTTTTATAAATAACATGTTATTATTTATTGATATTAATGTTGTTACAAGCATATGGTTATTACCAATGAATTGTCCTCCCGTAGCGCGTGAATCTACCGCCAAAACAATACCACCTTGATATTGAAAGCCCAAAGTTGTAGTTCCATGATCAAATTTGATGTTTAAGTACTTGCCAGTATCATCAATACCTTGGGCTATGCGACCAAAAGTTTCAGCTGGCTGTAAATGAATAAGACATATAAAGGCCACAAAATTTAAACAACCAATATCATTTTGAATATCTTCAACAAAAGAACATAAATATTATATGTAACATATATAGAAACTTGCAAATTATAGAAATTTCTTTTTCTTTTTATCAAAAAGCAACATTGGCTTCATAGTTTTATAGTATCGACACACAAATAACCAAATAACATGACAATATAATTTCTTTATTTATGAAAAATTGTAAGATATTTCTAAAGAATTTTATATATAGTTATATAAAACAACAATATTAATAGTTGCTCTTAACATATTTTTATTACTTATTATTTATCATAGTCTGTTCTTTACGATCAAACTGGCTGTATTAATTCAAGAAATTTACAACTGAAGCATGAAAATCTGGTATATACACTTTATATACTTTGATACATATATGTATATATATATATATATGTGTATATATTACTTGAATAAGTATAGCTAGTTTAGCTATAAAGGACAGACTAATAATAGATAATTCATACATGTGATGACGGTTGTCTATAATCTTGTTTACACTGATCACTTAATATGTATATCAAATTATCTGAAATTTAATAATACATATAAATGGTGGTATACTCTATCAATATCGATATATCTCAATATCCTTTATTTATATCCTTTCATGATACATATTGTACTGACTTAATATACCATCGTTTACATGCATCATTAATATTAAGATAATTTAATAGGAAGCTATTATATTTGGTAACTTATCATATTTAATTAGATATTTAATAAAAATATTATATTTAATGTATCAAACAATTAGTGTAAAATAGCATTACTTTCAGTACTTTTTATTTACATTATTTATGTTGACACAAAGTTACATATCATCTTAATATGATATATGCCTCACGACAAGTTACGCAAATGAAAAGTATATTTAGGAAGTCACAAAATTAAAATGACACGTTATGAACTCGACAATCGCATGATGTCGCATATTTACACGATGATCATGATTCTGTGTACTTACGTTGACAAAAGGTGGCACTGACAATCGAAGATTGTTGGAAAAATTTTCAGTATACCCCTCAATTTCTCCGGAAAACTTATCCTTGTCTTGAGAAAAGTTAAAATCGATAAGAGAATTGATACTGCAAACTTCTGCAAGCGCCATTTTTACTGGAATATTAAATGTTGCCTTCGGTCTCTCACTCTCTCTTTCTCAATATTGATGCCAGGTAACAAATGTAACTTTTATCGACTGCTTCACTTCGCTTCACTTGTTTGTGGTTATGGGTCGCTGAATCGCAAACCTTCTATGTCATTTGCAGTCGACTGCTTGTCATTCCTTCGAGCTGCGTTCGGGATACTTACACACTGAGACCGGTGTTCCACTGAAATCCTCAGTGGAACGAATGCACGGAGCAACGGAACCAATCACAGCCATTCCACTTTTTTGTGAATGACGTGTCAGATTATTGGTTCTTGCACGCAGAGCGCAGCAACGCTTACCGCGCGGCAGAAGCTCTCGTGGTAATCGATAACCTTTTAATTCTTACCGAAAAGTGGCATGTTGATTGGCTACCGCGCGAACTTCTGCTGCGCGACAAGAGTACTTCTATGTGAAGGAGCCATATATAAGGTGCGTTCCACATAAGCCAACCGCACGAAACGGTGATATATGCTACAAGATAAGTTATATAATACAAGCGACACAGAAATATTTCGAGTGACAGTGAAAAATGAATAAAATTGGAATTTGTGGTTGGATTGCAACCGGAGGTTCAGCCGCGTAAGAGAGCGCGGCTGACCGGAAGAAGAGGGATACCGCAGACTAAACGAACACGACACGCGAGGGGCGGTTGTGATTGGCGGGGGCCGTCGGCGAATCGGAAAGCGTCGTGGAGGGGAGAGAACGTTTGAAATCGGAAGAAGAAAGGCGCGGAGTAGCATGGTGACGCGGGAAGCGGGAGGACCGACATTCGGCAGATAACTACGCAGACGAGGGGACCTTGGAGAAGTTGCTGACGGAGGAGAAAGCTGGCGGAGACGTCCTGGTGGAGGCCCAGGGAGACGCGGGAAAACGACCGATCGCCTGGCGACGGTAAGTGCGCTGTAAAATTGCCACTGTTCCACCTCGTAACTTTCGGGAAAAACAGAGATTTCCCGTCTGAGAACCGAGGCATCCGGTGGGAAGCTCGACTCGGAATGCGGCACCGGTGGAACCGTAAAATTAAGTTAAAAAAGAGAAAGAATCCCGTCGTCGGCGGGGCTACCCGGTACGGTAAGCGACGCATGTTGCGTTATCCCGCCGCGCGCGCCCGATCTCGTGTCCCGAGATGTTCGCGACAACAGTCTTGCGTCGGGATAGACATGTAAAAGTTAAGACATCCCCGAACTACGACGCGTGGGGATAATTGTTTTATTTATTCGGCGTAGCGGTCCGTGGAACAATTACGTCTTACATATATGTATATTTTTACGGCTTAGACCGCGCGAGATCGGAAAATTAGTTATATAAGATTCGTTCATTAAGTTCATTTTACTTTTATAGGATTTATAGATAAGTATTTTTTGTTATTGCTTTATTTTTTTCAAAATAGACTTCATCTTAGTTACTCTCACGAGGTACGTGTCCATTTTTTCGCGTTTCCCTATTCCCATACCCAGTGTCTGAGGCGAGCGTCCGGTGATCCGAACATCTCTTCGGGGACGACAACTCTATCAGGGAGGGAATCCCTCTATACAACCCCTAATAGTAAAGGCGTATCTGGGGAGACTTGGCCGGTCCAGCTTCCCGGGCCTGGAGTTTGGGCGAAGCTCTCAAAATAACGCCCTGGCGACCGTGGATGGGCAACGGGATCCGTGAGGAACTTTCCTTCTCAAGGTTCAGCGGGATTAAACGCTGATGTTTTAATTAAGCTAGTGACATCCGGTCACATGATTCAATTATTTTTTTTGGAAGGGAAAACAGCAAATGAAATTTATGAGAGAATTTCCCCTACATTGAGTGACTCATGCTTTCCTATGAAACCGATCGAATGACGCGCATAAGTGTCGGTCCACAATAAGAATTTCTTAAGATTTAAGGCTTAAAATGGTGGACCGACACTAAACGTCCAAAGAGAACGCAGCCAAGGGAGTCGGAAAAATGGCGACCTACATGGTACAATAATAACAAAGAATTGTGGAATGTAATATACAAGTGTTTCATTCTGTGTTTACTTGATTTACGTGATAAAAATAAAGTTTAACAATGATACAAAATGTATTATATTCCTTTAAAGTGTTGTCACGTTGCAAAATCCGAAGATTTCTCAATAATATTCTTCACCGGCAACTATCATCGTCTGCAGTGGATATATCGGAGGTTAATAATCAAATTTTCTATTTAAACTTTAATCGTTGTTTTTATAAGATATCTAAATGTGAAGTCTAAATGTTTTTTACCTATATAGTACAACAAAATAAAGTTTCAACTTTATTTTGCTTATATTCGAATACGTTGCTTGCCTTATTCTCTATTTTTCATTATGTAATAAATCAAGTTTGTATTTGGGATATAGTGGAATAAAATTATTGTTAAAATATTTTAAAAGTATCGTATTTTACACTGAACTCTGTTGTATTATTTATTCGCCAATTAAAAACTTATCTTTTAGATAACACACTGTTCAACCAAAGTAAAGCGCCAAATAGAAGACCACTGGAAGGATAAGATAAATTCCTACAAATTCAATACTGAAACAAAAGATAAATTTTACATTTTGTCCATGTTTCCATATCCTTCTGGTGCTTTGCATATAGGTCATGTCAGAGTTTATACAATAAGTGATACAGTAGCCAGATTTTATAGAATGAAAGGTAGATAATATAATGTTTATCACATAAAATTTCACTTTTACATCAGTAGTTTGTGATATATAAAATATTTAAATTACATGTAGAAGATAATATAAGAAATCTTCCTGTCTAGGTAAAAGTGTTATTCATCCTATGGGATGGGATGCTTTTGGATTACCAGCGGAGAATGCTGCTATTGAACACAAAGTTGATCCAGCTATATGGACAAAGAACAATATAAAAACAATGCGTAATCAACTGACATTGCTGAATTATTCTTTTGATTGGGAGAAAGGATTTTCAACTTGTGATCCAGATTATTACAAGTGGACACAGGAACTGTTCCTAAAATTATACGATAAAGATTTAGTATATCAAAAGGAAGCTTATGTTAACTGGGACCCTGTGGATAACACTGTATTGGCTGAAGAACAGGTAGATTTGAATCAGCGATCCTGGAGGTCCGGTGCACTTGTAGAAAAGAAAATGTTGAAGCAGTGGTTTATTAGAACAACAATATTTGCAAAGTAAGGGCAAGAATACTATAATGTTATGTATAATTAATATCAGTTTCAGTTGATTAATTATCTTTGTATTGTAGATCATTGATGGAGGGCTTACACGATCCAAGCTTGAAGGAATGGAGAGATGTAATCAAACTGCAGAAGCATTGGATAGGCGATTGTAATGGTATTAATTTCGATTTTAAATTGATATCTGATATTCCAGATTTTTCAAAAACAGTGAATTTATGGACTGATACACCGGAATTCATCGAGTACGCAAAATTTGTTGCTATATCTCCTAAAAGCGTATTAAATCGTGAAGAGTATACACAGGACATAGACGTTGACATCAAACGTTTAAATGCAAAAGTATTAAATCCATTTACTGGTGAAGAATTACCAATTTTCGTTACCGACAAGGTCGTTTATTCAATGTGGAGGGACAACCGTTTGGGCATACCTGCCGCATCCATGGATGACTTGCAATTCTCGGAGTTAGTTGGAATACCGTTCACTCGACATATGATCCGTAGCTACGAGCAACAGCAGCAGAAGTTATCTGAAATATTACAGAAGGCTAGAGAATGGAAGATAGGCGGATATCCAGTAAGCTCGAAACTGCAGGATTGGTTAATTTCGAGACAGAGATATTGGGGTACGCCTATACCTATGATTCATTGTGTAAAGTGCGGGACTCAGCCAGTACCTCGTGATCAACTTCCTGTGACTTTACTAGATGTAAAGCACATGTCAGATATGAAATTATTAAGCGACGAAATAAAAGATTGGTCAATGACAAAATGTCCCAAGTGTAACGGAAACGCAAGAAGAGAAACTGATACAATGGATACGTTCGTAGATAGCAGCTGGTACTTTCTACGTTTCATAGATCCAGATAATGCGAAAGAGATGTTTTCAGTAGAAAAGGTTAAAGAAATTTTTCCCGTGGATCTTTACATAGGTGGAAAAGAGCACGGTATGGTAGTAATATTCTCTTAACACGTTGAGCGTCACGTCATAGGTAAAAGCTATCTTTCCGCAGGGGACCATTCACTTTGGGCGCATCATCTTTTGGCATATATAACAATAAAGATAGAATGACGCGTCCAAAGAGAACACAGCCCAAATATATCTATTTCAGATATGGGTGACAGTTTTATTTACTTAATTAGCAGGATTCCACAAATAATTTTCATGGTAACAAATATACTTAATAGTAACGATATACAAAATTATATGCAAACGGTTGAGAAAAATTTATACGTGAAGAAGGTATTACAGTTGTTTTTTATGATATACTTCGAAGCAATTTAGGCAAAGTTGTAGAGAGTGGTGAGTTAGTAGACGTAAACAAATGCACGCATATGATCGACGCGACATGATTCACGTGCGAAAGTTGTGTTTATATTTTCTACCTCGTCTCCTTGGCCTGATCTAGGCTTCATGACCCGCGGCGGATTTAGGCTGAGCGCTCAACGTGTTAATCGTCAAGTTTTCATGTTTGGTAAGAATAACACCTGTGCATTCTATTTTTTCAGCTGTGCTTCACTTATACTACGCTCGGTTTATGAGTCATTTCTTGCATTCGGAAGGTCTCGTACCATGTCGGGAACCATTTAAACAACTCCTTGTGCAAGGGATGATAATGGGTGAGACGTATAAAATTAAGGGGACTGGCAAATATGTGAGTGCAAAGGAAGTGAGAAAAAATAAAAATGGCAAACATGAGACTTTATTTGGAGAACCTGTCACTGTAAACTGGGAGAAAATGTCCAAGTCAAAATATAACGGTATTGATCCCCTTGCGTTGTTAGACAAGTACGGGATAGATACGACTAGATTATTAATATTGGCCGATGTTGCACCAACGTCTGCTAGGAATTGGTCAGAAGACAGTAAGGATCAATCCTCCGGTGGTTTAACGGTGGTTTATCAAAATATACATGTATATTCATATGCGCGCATATAAAATTGCAGCTATTCCTGGTATACAGAATTGGCAAAATCGTATTTGGAGTACGGTGAGACAATTTAAACACGAACGTAACAATATGTCTCTAGAGGAACTTCAAACCGAACCTACCCATCCTAAATTCGCCGAACACGATGCGTACTTATTCGACAGCCGAAATTACTTTTTGAAAACTGTCACACATAATATAATAGAAACACAGCAGCTCAGTGTAGCGATATCCAGAATGCAAGGTCTTACAAATAGGTAAATAGTTGGACATATGATATTTGCAACAATTCTATTATCCGAATACACATTGTAACCTATAATTACAGTTTGCGAAAAGTTCATATAGAATGTTTACGAAAAAGTCGCGAATACGAACGAGCGTTGGTGGTTCAAATTCTAATGCTTGCACCTTTCGCCCCACACTTTGCGTCTGAATTGTGGACCATTTTCTGTTCCGCGAAGCATCATCTGATAGATAGTAAAGAAGTAAATCTGGATAAAGATTTATTGGAACAAAAATGGCCAGACATCGATATGGATTATAAACTTACATTACATGTTTTCGTAAGTGTTTTCGTATATTTCTTATTTTAAATAAAAATATTAATACACATATATATTTGCATGTAAAATGACGCTATTTTTTTTTATTGTTTTCGTATGTAAATTTTTTTAGCTCTTAACATAACTTTTTTATATTAATTGTCCTATAAAAAATCATTTTTATATTTAATTGTCAATACATTGTAATACTCCAATCCATTATATCTACAATTCAATGTATTTAGGTGAACAAACGGCAATTTTTTAAGTTGAAACTTCCACGACGTACGTTGGACGAAATGACGGCAGAGACGGCATTAGAATATGTAATTCTTGATCCATATTATCAAAAACATTCGCATAATAAGAAAATTGTAGAATTCAGTCTTCAATCAGAGAAAGGCTGTGATGCGACGTTATACATAACCATGAAAAAACAGATGGAAGATATTGTGTTATAATACTTTGGCTAATGTACATAAGGTATTAATGAAATTTATATTATAACACTATTTAATATATAAAAAAAAGTATAAATCTCTGTTTAACTTGTTTAAACTTAATACATACCTGATATCATATTCTCCCTTGTATCCATTATTTGGTATAGATTTTAAGAATTTTATATAATCATCGGGAAGATTATTCTCTTGTGCCCCTTTTATTATTGTTTCTCTAGAATCCAAGTAGAAATTTTTATAAAAAAAGTTTGAGGTACAGTTATATTATTTTGTACTCATTATTTGCATTATATTTATGTGCAGATACATACAGATATAATGGTGAAGGTTTTCTATCCATTGGAAGATCTGCTGGTTTCATATATTCCGTTGGATTATGACATTGTTGGTACACTCTACAATTCAGAGTTGTACCATTGGGAGTTATAACGTCTACTGACATTGCATGATATATATTGTCTTGAACACCTTCTTGACGATTTAATGTAGGCAAGTTACACTTGTCTAATTCCCAAACTACACCCCATACGATCGAGTCATTTGTTTCAACAATTGTTGCTGATGCTCCATGCCATCGTTTAGAATATCTTTGAAAATCTAATCTAAAATTCTAATAAAAACATGTAACTTGAGTGTGTGTGTATATACACAAATCTTATATATTTGTATCTTATCTAATTAAAAATATTTAAGTGGTATTTAAATATTTTTTCAATAATTTTTTAATTTGATAATAATATTCTATAAACTGTGGAGGGAGAGGGGATATACTTTAACAGAAATAATTTACAGAATATATATACACATATAGACTTTGTGTGTGTGTGTGTGTGTGTGTGTACTTAATATATATATGCATACACAGGAAAAAAAATGTAACAAATATAATGAACAAATATGACACCAAGTCAGATCGGAAAAATTCAAAAAATTTATGTTTTGCTTTGCATTATCATAAATGTTCTTATATAATTCTGAAGAGAATAGATATATCGTGTGAGTCATAGTTATAGTCATTTTTCAGATTCTTTGAAAATAAGATATGGCCTTATCTTTGTGATTATTCTTATCTCACTTTCCACAAAATTTATTGTATATGTGTGTATATATATTCTGTAAATTATTTTCGTTAAAGTATATCCCCTCTCCCTCCACAGTTCATAGAATATTATTATTATCAAATTAAAAAATTATTGAAAAAATATTTAAATATCACTTAAATATTTTTAATTAGATAAGATAAGATTAAATATATAAGATTTTTAAATAATAGTTTGCGTTAAGACAGAAAGATATTGAGTTTATGAACAATTGCACATATGTCATTATAGTCAATGTATAAGTTAAAGATATAGAACACAACTCTAAACAATCGTACATCCTTATCTTCTGATTACCTTTATATAACCAATGCTTTTCACTACTGCAGTTGAGTTGTTTAGCCGTATTCTTTTAGCGAGTAAATTACTTCCGTAAGCGAAATACAAAAATGTGTTGGACATTTTACAAAAATCAGATATTTAATCGTGCCGTAAATTTTTGGTACAAGATGGTTCACAACTTTATCCAGTGCGATCGCGCTACCACGCTCGCTCACCACGAATGTGTCAATATGCATACAACTTCATACGCATCAGTATGTATGTACGTCAACGCATATATATCTACAAACATATATCTTATATATATAATGACGGGTTATGGAAAAATACGGATTTCAGGAGAACAGGAATAATTCGTATGCTTCTCGTTTATTTTCACGAAATGTCTCACCGCGGAAGAACTCTTTTTAATTTCAAACCATTCCGTTACGATTTTGACGATTGATTTGACGCGCGCTACGATACAAGCCGATTGCATATGGCGACGGATAGTTGAGAAAGTGTGTCCCTCTTTACGGGGTGACGGTTTTCGGTGTATTTTTGTGGCGTCTAGCGGCTATTGCGGACATCCAGTGCATTTGGGGGAGCGATATCTCGTGCCGCATACCGGGTGACACCGATGAATTACAGGGTAATGCCGTGAATAGCGGTGTTTTTCCATAACCTCTCAAATCGTGTAGAGCACAGTCTGTTGCAGACAGGTATGTGCACGCACCGTTTCGTGTGTTATTTTACAGTTAGAGCATGATTTCTTCTCGAACGCTTGTTCGACAACACAGCACTACTACGCGGCACTTCGCATTATAGGAAAAAATCGATTTCTCCCNTTTTTTTTTTTTTTTTTTTTTTTTTTTTTTGGCAAATGGCACGGTTTTGTTATGGCGCGAAAACTTGCGAGAATATCATCGAACATGTGCGTACGTGCGTTAGTCTGACTACGAATTCTTTTCCGGTAAGAACGACTGTTTCTCCAGAATTGTGATTACGTGTGGCTAACTCTGTAATTCTCACATTTTTCTTTGTTCTTCCTGTTTTCTGACGATAATAAATATACGACGATTTATTTTCGAGATAATAAGCGCAAAGGTCTTTGTAAATAGCCGGTTTATATGTTTTTAAAAGCATAAAAGTCGGCCATTTGTAACAACTTGATGTTTCTGCAGCTTGATTATTAAATTTTTCTCATTTGTGAAAGTGTCATGTTATATAAAAAATTAATATATTTATGTATTTATATTATTAATGTATTTATACGTAGATAGTAAATATACCGAGAATTTGTAGATTAAGAAGTATCTACAGATTAAATAAGTCTGAAATTCTCAAAATCACAAATCTTCTCCATGTTGTGTCTCTAAAATGTATTAACAGAAAGATAAAAATGTTTTTTTTTCCTATATCGTATTATATTATTCTGTCATTGATGACTATGCGTTCATATCGTTCATCATACATTTTATATACTGTGCTATGAGCATACATGTACAATTATTTAATCAAATATAGTATTTAACTAAATAACATCCTTGAAGCATAAAAGTTATATAGTTTATGTTGTAGATATGGCACCAACAAAAAAAGCTGATTTAGACAAGTTAGCATGGGCGTGGATAGAAGCGGTTGCTCCAGAACAGATTGAAAAAATACATTTAGAGACTGCATACAGGATTGGACTAAAAAGTTGTAAAAATTGCAAGTAAGTCATAATGAATTCTTATATCAGAAGAGTTTAGTAGTACATCATTTATGTTGTCGCTATAATTGCCACGGATGGGCGTTTTACTAATTAAATGTTGATTTATAGAGGCTATAAAAGCCTTCACACATGGATTTAATAGTAACGAAGTTGATCAACTAATCGGTATATTTCTTTAGATATATTTCAAAAGACTGTTTCTATTACTAACTATTAAAGTATTTCAACTGTTTGAATGATTTTTCCAACCTTATCGTCACTTCTATCGTCTCTTGGAATATGTAAAACTAAAGAGATATACCGTTCAACTTCCTCACTGCTTATGGCAATAAGTGTGTGAAGGTTTTATGCCAGAACCGTAAGAAATTAACCATTCTCAATCGATTAACATTTGACTACGATTGGTCAATTTCTTATGATTCATATAAGTTTTCCATAAATCAGCTTTCTGATCAATCGCTATATTCGTTACCCTTGTTTCAGACGGAACTGCACCAATAATCCCCAATGCCTGACGGGCTTAGGGGAAGAAAAATATATGAAGTCACAACCTACCGAGGTAGTACCTTTAGAAAGTTCTCTCTCTGAATTACGTGATCCGACTCAATACGTCGGGTTGAAAAACTTGGGTGCTACTTGCTACGTTAATAGTCTAATTCAAATGTGGTTTCATAATGAAGACATGAGGTAATACAGTGTATATCGTATATAAAGAAAAATGGATTTGCATTCTACCGTGTCTCATCGAAATAAATCCAACAACAGGAGAATAATATACAAATGGGATATCACGGAAGATCCGGAAGAAAGGGAGACAATGCAGCAGACGAAGAAGGCAGGACTACCGTATCATCCAGTAACCGCGGTCGGCCAATTGCAATACATTTTTGCGATGATGCAATTCGGAAATCGGAGTCTCCTTGATCCGATGAATCTCGCAGTCGCGTTATCTCTGGATACCAGAACACAGCAGGATGCTCAGGAATTCTCCAAGCTGCTACTGTGCCATATAGAAGGAAAGCTGCAGCAAGACTCAAGGCTGAAGCAGATGCTGCAGATGCTGACCCAGGGAAAATACAGCTATATCAATTGGTGGGTTTTCTGAAGTGGAAAACAAATGAGAATTGTCCTAAACGATGATGATGCTGATGAATCTTGACGATGAGAACATGGTAGGACACGTTGCTCGCTAGGGCGACTGGTGCGATCAACCGTTCTGACAGGGGGCGACGACTTCTTAGTGGGTAATTAGGATTTTTATGGGTTTGATGCAGTTGTTCCACGTGCGGTACCGAGCATCCGACGTCTACCACATTCTACGAATTGGACCTGCAATTGGCGGCCACCTTGAAGGAGGCGATAGACAAGTATCTGTCTGAAGAGCAGCTGACGGGCGCGAATCAGTATCACTGCACCACTTGCAATGATAAAAAGGACGCCAGGCGATTCATACGGTTAGAAACTCTGCCGGAGACTCTAAACATCCAATTGATGCGTTTTGTATTTCATAGGTAAGTTCGGAACATAAATATCGCGGAGACTCCTCATCCGCTCGAACTAACGACGCGATTCACCGTGACAGGGATTCCGGACAGAAGAAAAAGTTAAATTCGTACATCCAGTTTCCCGAGGATCTCGATATGTCGGAATACGTTAGGTGTCAACCGCAAACTCACTTGTATAGCCTCGTTGCAGTATTAAGCCACAAAGGTCCTTCCGCTCACTCTGGACATTATATTGCGAATATATGCAATTCGAGTGGTGAATGGTACCAGTTTAGTGACGACAAAGTGGAAAAGATGCAGAATAAACGAATCGAAGATGGTGTAAACGGTAATTACGTGCTTAAATAGGGAAAGAAAAATGTGGATTGTGTAGTAGTGTGGCAAGAGCTGGCATTTTTTTTCCTTTTTTTTTTTTTTTTATAGATAACGTAAAACCGATGAAACGAGGCCGTGTTCCGAAGGGATTCCTTTCATCGAATACGGCGTATATGTTGGTTTATAAAAAATTAACTACAGATTATCCAGTAAGTGTTGCAAAGAAAATGAAGTTGAAGAAACCCGAGGTGGAAGTGAGCGTCTCTAGCGATTCTGTTAACTTGGAAAGGCTTATCGTTAAAGAGAAATCTGATTCGTCGGACGAAGCGCAACGGAAAAACGGCATCGGGAATATGTCGCCAACGGAGGAAGAAAATCCTTATATGATATCCAAATTAGATTTCGAGAATAAAATAGACTCGGATGAATCTGTGGTACTTCAAAACACTGATGTATCAACGGCTAAAAATGAAACTATAGAAACTATCGTCAATATGGATGAATGTAAGGACACTTCTGATCCCATCGCACAACAGTTGCAGAATAAAATTCAACATCCAAAGAAACCGATAGTGAAAATTGTCAAACTCGATTACAAACGACTGAATGGTGCTGCACACAGAGCTATGAGTTGCGGAGAACAAGATTTCTATGAAGAGGTAAGTTCACATGTGTGTGCTAGATTAGAAATTATATTTAATTTTCAATGCATTTTCATTTGTTTTCTCCACAGATGGAATTCGAGAATTGGAAAGTGAGCAACACAATGCGCGAACTCGTCAGGCAAGAAAACGTTAAGCATGAATTGAGCTTGCTAGCCGCCCAACAAGAGAAGGTAAGAAAATATTTCTTATTAACAGCATTATTATTTGCTACATTATCCGCTATTTTCTATTTTAGCAAAAAGAAATTGAAGATCACAATTTCAAGCGACAACTTGTCATTGATATATATAATATGATCGCGTCAACGGTATCTTGGAACGAATACTATTGGATACCGACTGATTGGTTATCGAAATGGTTGAACGGACATTCTACCGCGGATAGTGTTCCTCCGATTGACAATTCAACTTTATTGTGCTCGCATTATCGACTCGACCCGCTGAAAGTTAGTCGCGCAAAATGCGTGCCAGTGGTAGCGGCTGATGTGCTTTACGAGAGGTACCGAGGAGGCCCACGATTAGATCAGACATCTTTGTGTGAAACTTGCGTGAAGAGACGTTGTAAACTATTGCGATTCAAATCATCGCTGGAGCGTGATCATAAAGAAGTCAATGAGCTCGTTCGCACATTTAAAGAACCGTAAGTTTCTGTAATAGGAAGAAGGATAACAAATGATAATACATTTCTATTGTTTTAGTTCTGAGACGAGTTACATTATCGGTACCGATTCATTACGGTCATGGCGAAGATTAGCTATGGAAACCTTCTTGGAGGATATGGAGCAAGAAGTTGACGTTTGCCAGGATACTCCGCAGGAGGAGAGCAAGAAAGATGGCAGCGACTGCACGAAAGAGGTCGAGGAAAACGAGGGAAATGAGATTATAATCAACTTTAACGAAGATTTACTTTGCGAGCATAATTCGCTTAAAACGGCAGACTCCAGTAGAAAAATAATACCTCAAGAGGCATGGTCGATTCTTCGAAAATATTTCCCGGATTCGAAAGAATATCCTATCGGAGCCTCGTCTTGTTCAATCTGTGAGGTAAGTTTCATGAATTTTTTTTTTTTCTTTGCAACAAGTTATCGAAATATTTTCTCAAATACCTATATTGATTGTATATTTGCCATTGATGCATTTTCAGGAGAGAATGGAAAATGCGCAAAGAGCGAAGAAAGACGATAAGATAAAGGCGAAACAGCAGAAGGACGAACTTACTGATTTATATTACGGGAAGAATAGGAATGAAATATCCAAATGCGACGATTCGAATAAACTATTTTACCTCGTCGAGAAGGGCTTCTTGGATAGTTGGCGTTCCTTCGTTCGGTAAGTCTCTTTTAGATTGTATTATTTATTATAATTCTTAGCTACACTTTCTCCACATTCACGAACTTCATACTCTTTCCAAATTTTTTTCGAAGTGCACTTATTTCGCTTTAAATGCGTAAAATTACGCTATAATTTTTTCTGTATATTTCTTCTTCTCTCTCTCTCTCTCTCTCTCTCTCTCTTAATTAGTGGTAATCAATTAGATATCTTTCTACAAATGTATTTTTGTCGAAAACTTTCGTCTTTTTCAAATCTCAACAGTTCTTTTGATCAATATTTCTTACAAAGGTGACCCTATTAACATCAGACAATTCAATTCCGAATTTATTTCAAAAGAATCACATCTTGTCGCTTTAAATGCTGTCAACTTTAAATTTAAACGGTTTTTTATTTTGAATTTCTTGACTTAGTACATTAGTTTTCGCGATATTTCGTTCGTGTATGCTTCAGTGCCGAGAAGTTCTCGCTCGAGTTGTATCGATGCAGAAGCGAGTATTATCATTATTCACCTCATTAATTATATTAGCTCATCCGAGTGTACAACCAATATTATGATAATTACACGATGCGTTCTGTAAAAGAGAGAGGTTTACTGTTCCTTCGCGAGAAGTATGCTTCTTTTTTTTAAGTAATTAATGAAATCTACACCAACTTCATTAATTAGTCATAAATTCCAAATAATCGATTAAATTTCATTGGCATAGCTGATTATTACTCCGATAACGATTATGGTATCTGGCGAATTTTCGAGCTCGCGTTACAGTTACGTCTGTAAAGTACCAAGGAAAAGACCAGAAAAGAAAATTCCGCGGAAATAAACATTTGGTAGGAATCGCATTCAATCTCATCGATTGAATTTGCATTTTATGGAAAGTCGATTACATAAAATTAGTATATAGTTTTAATACCACTCAATAATTTAACTTATTGCTGAATATGTTTCGGTAATATTCCATTGCTGAGTATATATTAATAATTATTCATTCGCGTATATAGTATTATCATGCCATTATTAACCGTTCAATTATTATGCTATTAATAACTGTTCAGCAACTTCAGTTCTCTGACTGAAACAATCGTCACAAACAACCGTTTCGTGTCGGTAATCGTTATGTCGATAACTAACGCAGGTATTCCGCACTCATATTATTTGGTCAAGATGGCATTAGTCGTCTTGCTTCGTGCAATTTCTTAATTCTTCACATATGCTACATATTATACATATTTTTTTCCTGCAACATGCTTATCAATGAAGGAAAAATTATTTATATATTTCTAATAATGTTTTAATACTGTTAATAATTTGTAAAAACGTCAAGATTATCTTGAGTAGAGAATACAATTGAAACAAACAGATTATCGATTCTCTTTCCCTCCTTTCTATAAGGAGAAAAGTAATTTCTATTCTATATGAAAAATATATCGATATATGATAGAAAATGTGGATAATGTCGCACGATAGTAGTAATATTAAAGATATTATATATTATTGAACAAACTCTCTCTTCAGAAATCCTAGAAGAAGGATATTTTACAAATTATATAAAAATGACTACTGAAAGCTACAATTAACATAACGTAAAAATGGATTTATCATTTTCTTCTCTGTTTCAACATCGGTGTGATGAAATATGATACAGATTAATCCACCGTACGATGATCTATTTTCCGATGATCTATCGCTGTTTCGCGAACACTGTGCTTTAATTCGCGATAAGTATTACGTCTCGATGTGCACTTTCGTGAGACGATCGGGCTTGCACTCGTAGAAACTGGTTGTCGACGTAGAGGAAAGATATATCCGGGATGTATTAACGAGCTTTTCCTAATTATGAGAAAAAACTGGACCGCGCGATTAAGCTGGGTGGGCCCCCCCCCCCCCCTCGTTCGTCCGTGTGTGGGTGCGGAGGAGGACCTGCACGGGGAAACTAATTGAAACCGCTTAACGACCCGCCGGCAAATGATACATCGACCCCAACGAAGGGCCACCGGTGTCTTAATATCGTTTCGCCTTCTTCCACAGGCAAGACCGTAAATGCAATTTGGACTCTCGTTCCTTCGAATTTCTGCTCTTCATTCCAAGTTTTGGTGTCCGGCGGAAAGAAAGAAAGAAACGCACTCGAAGTGTACGCGCATGAAGGATGAATTTCAGCTTTTTCGCTTCTGTCTGTCTGTCGCGTCACGTAACGTTGCGACAAATTCAATGCGTTAAACCGTCGCGTCCCTTAAGTACACGCACGATACTGCGCAAATTTATCTTTTAATCTCACGCGTGTTCTAGCTTTACATCAACTAAACGGCTAAACGCAAAAAGAGTCGCGTTTATCGCTGAAATTTCCTCCGTTGGTGGCACGCGAATTTTTCCGAATACTCGCCCCTTCGTTGCGAGCGGAGATTAAAAGAGAAAAAGATTTATTACGCGTCCTTCTCTCTTGAGCTAAGTTGGTTTTTTTCCCGATATGTATTAGTAGAATTAGCAGCGAGTCGAACGCGGACTCATGAATACGAGTGAAATCTTTCCGACAGCGGAAAAAACATCCGGGATGGCATTATCCTGAACGCTCCCTTATTATACATTCTCTCGCACAGCGACACGTTGGCTGGACACTTCGGATTGACAGATTCAAATTCGCCGGGGGCTTAAATCTCGTCGGATTCCAACGTATGTGAGCTAAACCAGGATCAACCCTTCTCGCGGATTACACGTTTGTCGTGTCACGCGCGATTTCGATATACATGTAGGGACGTGAAAACCTCGAAATAAGTGGTCGGTTCCCGAATTAAATGAACACTTGTGCGAGCAAGAAGAATACATGTTCTCCTCTTCCGTACGGTTTACATTGCGTCTCGTCCGGCACTTCTTTAAAATAAGAGATAACGACGGCTAATATTCATTCGGTACTCATTAGGGGCAAAAAAATTCGTTCGATCGTTCAGTTTGAAAAACGATAATTTGCTACTTCATTCCGTTTCTTGAGGTCGCTACGATCCATTATCGAGTATTTGCTATTAACCGAAGGAGAGAGAGAGAGAAAATGTGAAAAATATTTTTCCGGACCGCTGGCATTGTCTTCGACCGACTCCTTTGTGACGTCGGTGATTAATTTTTCAGCAGGTCGGGCATGCCGCCCTTTTTTGTTACGCCACCACTGCCAGTAATCGTTCTTTGTATTTTTCGAACAAAAACCCATAGTTCGTTGCTTCCTTTACACGTATAGTTATATTATACGGTACGTGCGCGACTTCTTTTTGCAATGCGCTTGGCATATAAAATTACGCTTTATTACTCTGTCTTATATTAAATTTTCCATATCCACATGCCCTGAAACACCGCGTACATAAATGTCTTCGACTCTTTCAGCGCGCGTTATTAATCCGAGCAGCTTATATCTTTTTCGTTCATTCGCGTATTTTTTGTAGAAATATAAAGAAGCGTTTCGTCGTGAAACACATATAATCGTGTAGTTTAAGTAATAATTAAAATTTTACTGTCGGAGCACACACGATGCATGATTTTATTTTTTAAATCTACTTTGTAATTCAAATTTCTCAAAATATAAAATTTTTAGTTTTTCATTTTTCGATAATGTAGGAATGATTGTTTTTCCTTCAATGAACAAACGTTTGCATTGCCTTATATCGATAATTAGACCAGACTCGCTAATCAAACACGACGGAAGTTTTCACACCCTCGAGAGAACAAATGGTGTCGAGGATTGCAATCCGTTTAACTAGCTTCAAACAAAGTCCCCCCCGCCAATCCGTCAACGTCGCTCGGATGGATCTTCGAAAGGATTAGGATTTGCATAAACGATCATTCAACTTCCGCTCGACGCCACTTCATCCTTTCTTTTGGCATGGATATTTCCCGACATTTGGCGACTTAAAAACTCGCACTTCGCTAAGCTATTAGATAGGAACTGTTGATTGTGGTGCAATTTTTATTTCTTACTTTAACTGAACAATACACTTTGGCGCGATATTTCATTTTACATTAAAGTATGTAATACAAGAGTTGAAAAATATTTTGAAGTGCTTTTCTTCTTTTAATATTTTAACTTCCTGTTTAATATTCTCAACTAATTCTCTCATACACAGGGAAAAAGATATCTTTTTGGATTTTATTTCTTTAATCGAAACAAATTTGTCTTTTAGAATGGAGCGAATAAACGAACGTTGGATTCAACAGACAGGATTGTTTGATGTTTCAAGCAATAAATATCTTTATGCCAAATAATATATTTCTTTTGTATCTTTACTCAAGCATTACAATGGTAATGACAAACAATAAATTATTTGAAAGCAGTAACACTATATTAGAGAAATATCAAAGAACTTTTTCATGTCTCAGTCAGAACAGTATTTAATATATAATGAGATAAATTTTTTTATTGAAAACAAATATTATTTCCTTTAAATAATACTGTTTCCCCTCCCTCCCTAATAAATAGTGGTTTACTTTAATGAAAGAACCTTTTTCATTTAAACAAAATTATATTTGATATTAAGTTATGTTATTTATATTAAAGAAACCCAAGACAAAGAAACACTAAATTCAAAGAAATCTCTTTCTCCGTGTAACATTTCACGTATAGAAATGTACAAATCACGCATACATAATTATTATTCAATTTATACATTACCGACAAATCGTCTTAGAAAATTGCATTCACGGTGGAAGGTGAATTGATTTTTCCATCAAGAGATACAATGTTTACTTTGTCAGAGCTGAGTGAAGCTTCTTGGCAACGTCGGGCGCTGACTTCCGCATTTCGGTAAATAATTATTAATGATCGCGTACTCGGAGAAAATGTGACCGCGATCTTGTTGACACCGCATTGTAACACCGCGGACAATGGTGCCGCCGTCTCCAAAGCGCGCGCCGCGAGGTTAACGTAGAAGGAGGAGGAAGGGCAGAGGCCATAATTAATAACTGGGAATTGATTAAGGTGCCAGATAAGTCCATGGAGCCGCCGGTGTCCCGTCTCGCTCGCACA